GCTGTGACTGCCGAGGGTCCCGGCGCGGGCCCCAGGGCTATGGAGCAGTACTGCATCCTGGGCCGCATAGGGGAGGGCGCGCACGGCATCGTCTTCAAGGCCAAGCACGTGGAGGTGAGCGCCCAACCCTTCTTCCTCCGGTTCCATTCAGCCCTGTCTCTGAGATCCACCCGTTTCCCCGACCCACGCTTGGGCCGTTGCTCCTGCCTCCCCGCAGCTCTTCGTGACGTGCGCCTCCTCTTTTGCTCCCTTGAGTGGGGAGTGTTCAGGTTGCGGCCAGCTAACCAGTGGTGCTTTCGTCCAGCGAGTGCCCCCAAGGGGACTGTCGTGGCATAGATGTCTGAGCTGTTAGTCCCGCGCTGCGACTGCTGGGTCCCACGCTGATTTCCCTCCAGAACCGGGCGGGGGCGCGTTCCACCCCCACGAGCGCCTCAGGCCTCGGCGTCCGACCTCTTTCCCAGCCGGGGATGGGGTGGCAGTGTCTGCGTCCTGTCCCAAACAGACTGGAGAGATCGTTGCTCTCAAGAAGGTGGCCCTGCGGCGGCTGGAAGATGGCATCCCCAACCAGGCGCTGCGGGAGATCAAGGCCCTGCAGGAGATCGAGGACAGTCAGTATGTGAGTGGGGCTGGTGTTCCGAGCTGCTGGTCCCCGCCCTCCTCCACCCGCTCCCACTCTGGAGGCCTGCAGGCGCTGTTTGCTCATTTGCTCCCTTCTCCTTCACTTACTCTGTTTCTTGTTCTCTTGGTCACCGTCATTCACCCAGTTACTTCATTCCTCACTCTTTCCCTCTCTTATTCATCCTCTTATTTCTTCGTGTACTCGTTCATTCATTCCCTCACTTATCCCTTTTTTCTCAAAACATTTAGTGATTTCTAATGATAATGATCATCCCTCCGTGGAGCTACTGTTACATTCTGCAGGCCGGGGTAGCTGCTTTAGGTACATTGTCCTGCGTTTTCTCCTCTACTCTGTAAGGCAGGTTTCAAGATCCCCTTTTCTCAGGCCGGGGAGGAGCTTCAGCCGCTCCCTCATGGGCACTCAGCTTGCTCGGCTTCTCTGTGGAAGCTTTAGTCCCTGTCTGATTGAGGAAGCAGAACGTTTTAACCTGGGGGCCTCTCGTAGGCTCTACCATCCGCCGGGTACTGGCAGCACAGACACTGGTCCCAACAGTCCCAACATGGCTCTTGGGAACTGAAGTGTGGTGGGGGAGATGGACTGGGGTGGTTTGTGCTGTGGCGGGACTGGAAGGAGCTTTGGGCACATGAAAAGAGACACGTTTTGTACCCCCAGCCTCATTCTCTTCGTGGTCTTCTCTCTTGTCCATGTCATGAGTAGAGAAAGTGCTTAATTTCCTGATAAGTGACGAGAGTAGGTCCACCCACTCGAGGGTGAGTGATACTCTGACTTGTTTCTTACTGTCTGGAGATGTCAATGATACATAGTGACACAAGCATGTTACAGACCTGCACGTGTCATCGTAGTTTTGTATGGAAGTATTTTGTATATATACGCAAATATGCGTCTGTATGTACCACTTCTGTTGTAAAGTCTGGTGGAATATGCTCCTAAGGTTGACTATAGGTAATAGGATGTCTGTAAAATGATTGTCTGTTACCCTCAAAATCAGACAAACAGCCATTCTCACTTTTTTGAGGAAGGTAAAATGGCTTGCTGAGAGCTTGTGTGGGAGAGTGGAGGGCCCACAGGAAGCTGGTGGTGTGGTCCCCTGGCACCCTGTGCATCAGCAAGCCTGGAGATTCTAACTTTCAAACACTCAGTTATAACCCTGGCCCAGGCCATCGTCACCTCTTGTCAGAACCACCTGCCCCCTCCTCCACAGCCAAAAAATGTGGATTAAATCATCCACTGCCCAGCTTGAAAAGCTTCAGTGGCTTCTCTTCACTCTGAAAGAACTGTCACCATCTGCTCCTACTCCCCACCCCCGCTCCAGCCTCTTTCTTCATTCATTCAGCACAGCTTCTTAAGTGTCTCTCTGGTGACAAGCACTACTTTGGCTCTGAGAGTACAGAAACAGAGCAGACTGCTTCCCCTGAATGATGCCACATGCAAGCGTCCCTCTAGCCTTCTTCCTGTTCTTGCCTGGAGGGGTTGTGTTTGCTGCCCCCCTGCCCAGGGCTCCTTCCCAGATCCCTGGATAACCGACCCACTCCGTCTGTTCTCTTCTGTCTTCGTCAGCATCTACATCAACATACCTCTTAGGCTGGTTTGTTCATTTGTCCGTCATTTGTCCCCCTGAGACCCTTGAAGTCCTTCAGGACCCACCAGCTCTTGCTCCTGCTCACTAGTGTGCAGCCTGACCCTTGTGACCTTGTGGGCCCTCAGGAAGTGTATGGGAAGTGTCTTCTGCTGTCCCACTGCAGGGAGCTATGATCACCAGGGCCTTCTCTCGGTGCTGGGATTCAGTGGCTGTTTAGGAAACCAGAGGAGACCTCTGTGCGTGTGTGTGTGTTTCCAGGTGACTTTCTGGTTTGTGGCTGGATGGGGAACCAGACACTGCCCTAAGTGGCCTTTCTTAGACCTCCTTTCCCCTGAGTGCATACTGGACCGTTACAGTAGGTACCTGCCTTCTCCCAGGAGCAGGTAGCATCAAGAGAGCACCCCGCTCCCTGATTCTGAGCTCAGGTCTCACGTCACCTTCTCTGCCTGCCTGGTCTCCTGTGAGGCAGGGGCTGAGGGCCCTAGAGAAAGTCTGCGCCCTGAAAGTCTGAGGCTGACGGGACACCCCGCTCACAGGTTGTGCAGCTGAAGGCCGTGTTCCCGCATGGCGCAGGCTTCGTGCTGGCTTTCGAGTTCATGCTGTCGGATCTGGCTGAGGTGGTGCGCCACGCCCAGAGGCCACTAGCCCCAGCGCAGGTCAAGAGCTACCTGCAGATGCTGCTCAAAGGCGTCGCCTTCTGCCATGCCAACAACATTGTGCATCGGGTCAGTTCCAGCATGGGCTGGGCTGGGGCTGTGGCGGGCGGCTGGGCTGGGTTTAGGCCAATCCTTGATAGTTAGAGAGGGGACAGAGGGATCAGAGCCCAGGGGTAAGTGGCCAGGGGTGTAGTCCTAGAGGAGGTGGGGTCCTGGGTCTGACCCCGCTGCTCAGCCTGCCAAGCCCTCCTGTCCTGAGTTCCTGGGGGGCTCTGGAGGAACTGATGTCTCCTCTGGTGCCCTCAGGACCTGAAACCAGCCAACCTGCTTATCAGTGCCTCAGGCCAGCTCAAGATTGCAGACTTTGGCCTGGCCCGGGTCTTTTCCCCAGATGGCAGCCGCCTCTACACACACCAGGTGGCCACCAGGTAGGGAGGGCCAGTTCCCAGGCAGGGCCTGGCAATGGACAGGCCATCCCTCTTGCTGGGAGAGAGATGCTTCTGGGCCTTCTCTTCAAACTATGTTCCCTGGGGCTGGGGCCAGAGTGACCTTCCAGGGCAGCTTCCTATTAGACTGGTGACCTGGCCGTGACCACCTGACCTCTTCTCACAGGTGGTACCGAGCCCCTGAGCTGCTGTATGGTGCCCGGCAGTATGACCAGGGTGTTGACCTGTGGTGAGACTCCTATGGGCTGGGCAAGGGGGGACGTGGGTCACTGTCTCTAAGCTGTTGGGGCTGTTTTCCTGCTGTGAGCTCTAGGTCTCCTTGGGGGTGTCTCCTCCCCTGGTTAGAGCATCTCTGAGGAGTTTGGGATCAGGGTTCCTCTCCATGAGGGTTTTGTGCTAGATGAGAGTCAGGTGGGATCGGAATGGCTTTCCCAGTAGGAATCTTCTGGTTTGGGGTTGAGCAGGTGATTGAGGCCTGGAGCATCGAAGCTGGTTGCAGGGGGGCTATCCCAGGAGGATAGGTTCCTGAGCTATCCAGAGGCCTGGGTCCCTGGATGTGAAGGCCTTGAACCTTTACGTGGGGTAGGATGGTTTGTACATGCCTAAGAGTTGAGATTTGGGGGCTGTATTGGAGGTCTGCCCCAATGGGAGGAGGTGGGTCTGTATCCCAAAATGTGAGGCTCTGAGAAGTCTCAAAACTGTTGAAAGATAGATGTACGTTCCAGAATTGAGGCCTGAGAGCTGTTTAAAGGGGGGCTATGCTCTGTGTTCTAGGCTTGCAGTCTTTGTTTGGGTATCTGTATTAGCTACAAAGCCTCTAGGCTACTTGTGGGTTTCTTGGCCCCAGGGTGAGGTGATGGAGCTGGTGTGAGGAGATCTATATCCGTAGTGTGAGGTCTTTGAGATATTTGGGTTCTGTATCTGCAGGGCCGTGGGCTGCATCCTGGGGGAGCTGTTGAATGGGTCCCCCCTTTTCCCAGGGGAGAATGACATCGAGCAGCTTTGCTGTGTGCTTCGCATCTTGGGCACCCCCAGCCCTCAAGTCTGGCTGGTTTGCAGGGGCCTATGGTGGGGAGGGGTGGGGCAGGTGTCCTTTGGAGCCCCCAACAGCTACTGATTCCCCTGCCCCGCACCTTCTCTCCCATGGCCCCACACCTCCTTGACCTCCTGTCCTGGCTCAGTGTGGGGACTCTTCCCTCCTTGTCCTGCTGGAGATAGGGTGGCCAGGTCCCATCCCCTGTCCCTTCACCCTGTTGCTCTGCCCTGAACCTTTCCACCTGCCCCCAGCACACATGCAGTCCTTACTGAACTGGGCATGGAGTGGGTACCCGAGGGGTGCAGGAAGGACTGAGGGACCGAGTGAGTGCGTGAGGACATGAGTGACGTGGTGCAAGAGCAGGGGTCCTTGGATGGGGAAGCAGTGAGTGAGTGGGAGCAGATGGGCCCTGAGGGGCTGAGGGGGCTGGTGGGCCAGGTACCAGCCCTGATGGGCTCCTTCTCCTATAGGAGATCACGGAGCTGCCTGACTACAACAAGATCTCCTTCAAGGAGCAGGCACCTGTGCCGTTGGAGGAGGTGCTGCCCGATGCCTCTCCCCAGGCCTTGGACCTGCTGGGGCGGTTCCTCCTCTACCCTCCACGCCAGCGCATTTCAGCCTCCCAGGTAGGGCGACACCCATTGCCCTGGCCCTCTTCATTGGTGCCAGTGTGACCAGAACCCCCAGAGCCAGGGGTAGAAGAGTGCAGAGCAGGTGTGCCTGTCCTGAGCAGACCCCAGAGGGGCTGGCCCATTGGAAGGGCATGCCCACCTTGCAGAAGAGCATATCTCTGGGTTATTGGTGACTCGCTTCTTCGTCCCTTCATTCCTTCAGTAAGTATTTACTCAGCATCTGGCAGGTGCCTGGCATTGTCCTGGGCTCTGATCCGTGAACAGTCATGGCTCATCCCTGTGGGGTCTTCCCCTGTGGTGAGGCAGGGCAGCCAGGCTGTGGGAGCTGAGGGGAAGGATGTTGGGACTGACACTGGGGTCACACAAGGCTTCCTGGAGGAGGGCAGGTTTAAGCACAGGGAGCTGTTTTCCAAAGAGAAATGATGAGCAGAGGCCTGGAGAGGAGAACCAAGGAGGGGTTGGGCTGTGGCTGGAGGACAGGAAGGAAGGTGAGGACCTCGGGCTGATGGCCGATGGTGTCAGGGCCTCTGTCAGGTGTACCTGTTTGTAAGGCCTCATCGCACCGTACCCTCCCTGCTCTGGGCGTTAGCAGTGTGTGTTTATGCAGGCCCGGGTGAGTTCCCACGTCAGCAGCGCCTACAGAGTGTACTGAGACCAGCTGACCACTTCTCAGCCCTCTGCTGCTGCCCCGAGTCTAAGCCACCTCCACAGCCGCCTGTCATTGCCTCCCAGAGTCGGCTTCTCTTCCTGCCCGTTCAGTCTCTCCACCTGGCAGAGAGAGGGACCCTGTCCAGGCAGGCCGTCACGCCCTCCCCTGCAGAGCCCTCCAGGGGTGCCCTCTCAGAGGAGAAGCCCAGGTCCTAGGGGCCCACAGGCGTCACACACTTGGGGGCTGTCACCTCTGTGACCCTGCCAGCTCCATTCCCCTTTCTCACTGCCCTCGGGCCCCAGGGCCCCCTCCACGTCCTGGGGTCTGTGCACTTCTGCCCCTCGGCCTCACCTGTGCACCTTTCAGGTCTCTGCTGGAGCACCACCTCCCGGGGCCTCCCCTCACCATGCTTCAGGCCTACAGCCTCTGCGGTATTCCTCGGCCCCCTCTTACTGTCTCTTCCCTGCAGTGCTTGTCACCTGATGCACTGAGTTCTTACTTCTTTATCTTGTTTATTGCCCCCACCCCTGACCACGTGGAAAACTTGAAAGCAGAGCCTTTGTTCTGTTTACTGCTACATCCCCGTCTCTGGGGCAGTGCTCAGACGGTGAGCACTCAGGGAATGGAGTCAGCTGAGCAGATGAGCTGATGAAGGAAAGAGCCTCTTCAGGGCAATGTTCACATACCCTCCTTGGAGGGAAGTGAGCTGAAGCTGGGACAGGGAGGTGACAGGTTTCCTTTTGCTGTCCCTTGCTTGCTACCCTCAGGCCCTCCTGCACCAGTACTTCTTCACAGCTCCTCTGCCCGCCCACCCCTCGGAGCTGCCGATTCCCCAGCGACCAGGGGGACCTGCCCCCAAGGCCCACCCAGGGCCCCCCCACATCCATGACTTCCATGTGGACCGGCCTCTCGAGGAGTCACTGTTGAACCCGGAGCTGATTCGGCCCTTCATCCTGGAGGGCTGAGATGCTGAGATGCTGGGCCAGGCCTCACTGGTGTGCCCCCAACCCCGGACAGCTCAGGTCTCCTGTTCCTCTGCTCCAGCCTGATTCAGCCACAGCAGGCCTACTCCATTCCTGGTCCTGTTCCCAGCCGGGCGATGAGGACATCCAGCTCCAGCAGAGGGGACCCGCTGCCCGTGCTGTCGGCCTCCCACCTGGGTGCTGCAGACGGATCCATCAGAAGGAGGCCGTGCATCCCTCTGCCATGTCTGCCATGGTGCTGGTTCCCTAGTGGCTGCCTTCCTGGTCAGGGGTGTTCCTAGGGGAGCCCTGAGTGTAAGATGTCCTCATGTCGGAAACCCAAGTAGGAAAGGTTTGGAAAGGAAAGTTTGGTTTGATTTTGTTCCCAGACATTAAACACTAGTTCAGTTTTGAGGTTTATTATTAAAGGCCTAAGTAGCTCTGCCTGGTGTATACCCCTTTTCTGTTCCTATTGAAGGAGATGGCTGAGGTGACGTACCTCCTGGCCCTTGCTCTTCTGTGGTCACTGGGAAAGTGTCCCCATTCATGACGACTTTAGTCTCGGGGCCTTCTGGTTGCTTCATGTGATGGAGCTCCCACAGAGAGGTGAGGTGGCAGAAATGAAGGCCCAGGGATGGCTCGAGTTGGGGACCCAATACGTGACCCTCCACACCTCAAGCTGGTTTACTAACATCTCCCTCAGGATGAGGGTGAGCCAGGGCCACACAGGCTACGACCCTACTCAGAGATGCCGGGCAAATAAGGAGACAGACTCCTCTGTTAATTCAGTAAATCCCAGTACAGTCTGAACTGGCTCTTGTTTTTCTTATTTAATAATTTGGTAAGCTGATTGTAAAATGTGGAAATGAAAGAGTTGAGAGGAGGAGGCAGAAACAGAAGCAGAAGGAAAGGAGGAAGACCATCAAAGAATGTACCCCAGGCTATACTAAACAGGACCGTGCGGTACTGGTTCACAGATAGATAAATGAGATAAATTGATTCTTAGCAATCTTTTATTCTTGAAGTATTCGTTTTGTGCTTCAATATTTTATTCTTAACATATTCATTTTGTGGATAAACTTCTGTAAGCACTGGGGTCACAGAGGTGACTGGCACTGCCACAGTCACTGTTCTCCAAGCTCTTAGAGGGCAAAGCACAGTAAAGTCCAGCTGTTGCTTTCAGGGAAAAGTCTGAGTGTCTCATGTCTTTAAAGATGTTTTAAGGATCTGGTCGCTGCCTGTTGGTCCGGCCACACCTGTAGACTCTAAGCTTCAGTCTAGCTCAGTTTCTGATTTATCTGACCTCCACATGAATGTGAGTTTGTCCCTAACCACTGACCCTTAGCTAGTTCTACTCACAAAGATCCTAACCTTACCCCACCCTGCAATGACCCTCACCTTGACCTTGAGCCTTACACTGACCCTGACACTCAACCTAAATCTGACACTTAACCTGATCCTATCACCCTGACCCCAACATACACACCCACTGTCACCCTCATTGAGTTCTTTGCCAATCTCTTCCCCACCCATACCTGGCTTTGATCTTGGCATTGACTCCGACCTCGCTCTGCCTAGAACTTAACCTTGTCCATGAACTTGGCCCTCATCCTCATCTTAACACTGACCCTCTCATGGACATTCATCTTACTTTGATGTTCATAATGCCAACCATTAACGTGTCCCTCACACGCACCCTGGTCCTGACATATTCTTGACAATGACAGCTTCTCTCACACTGATCAGGACTCAGAACACTATCATGAATAAGACACCACCCTCAATCTGATCCCGACGGTCAACTTCACTTTGCCCCTAGACTCGATCTTCACCTTGACAAGGACCGTCATACTGACCCACCCTGCCCTTGAACTTGAGCCTTGACGCCGAACTACACTGTACACTCAAGCTGAAACTGAAACGAGTCTGTATGCCAAGCCTGACCGTGTCCCTGACGCTGATGTTGACCTAGAATTCAGTTTCACCTTGACCTGGGTCCTCATCCTAACCCTGAGCCCCACACAGAACCTGGACTCACACTTCGTGGCTGTCACCACTGACACCTGAATCCCATCATGAAATTGAACCTGACCTAGACCCTGACCCTGACCATTGATCTTCATTATTATGGTGACCTTCGTCCTCAGCTTAATCACCTTGACCCAGTGTCACATTGAACTTAGCCTTGAACTTGACCTTGACTGTGAATCAAACTCTGACCCTCTGTGACAGGCAGAATAATGTCCCGCCAAAGATGCCCACGTCCTAGCCTGTAAGTACTTTGCCTTGCACACAGAAGGGACTTTGCAGATGTGATTGAGGGTGCAGACTTTGAGTTGGAAAGAATATCCTGAATTATGCAGATTGGGCCAAAATAACAGGCTGAGGGAGGGAGAGGTGGAGGAGGAGGAGGGTGGCAGAGGAGGACTTAATTCCTTCCAGTAGCAATAGAAAAGGAACCCCAACTTGACATAATTGACCTTGAACTTCACCTTGTCCCTGACATACGTTAATCTTGACCCTGAACCTGACACTGACCCTAATCCTGAACATCACCCTCACCCTCACCCTGACACTGAATCCTTGACTGAGAACTGGAATGATCACTGTCAACCTGAATCCAGCTTTCAGTCTTACTTTCACCTTGATGATAACCATCATACTTAACCTGACATTCATTCTCTCACTGATCCTCTAATGGATTCTTAACCATGCCCTGACCTCGACTCTCACATTGACCTTGACCTTGATCTTGATCTCGAACCTAACCCTGGACCTAAAATTTCCCTCGCACTGATCTTGTCCTTGAACCTGATTATGACACCATGGCCTTGAACATTCTTTTATCTTGACCCTTAACCTGAGAGAGAAATTTACCCTGACCTGAATACTCACTCTCTGGTCTTTATCACTCTGTCCCTGATCTTACCCTCATCCTGACCCTGACCTGCTGACAATGAACTTGATCACAATCCTCACCCTCACACTATGGCATGATTTTGGCAAGGGCCACAGTCAAGTCTAGAGTGAGGTCCAGGGTCAGGACCAAGGCTAGGCTGAAAGCCAGGGCAGAGGCCATGGCAAAGGAGGCACCAGGTTTAGGGCCAGGTCTTGGGGGTCAGTCCAGTGCCAGGGCAAGAGAGGCTGAGGGTCACTGTGAAGGCGATTGTGAAGGTGAGGGTCAGGGCCAGGGCGAAGTTCCGGGTGAATGTGTTAGGGTGTGTCAGGGTTAGGTGAGAGTAGGAACAGGGTAAGGTAGATGTCAGATGCTAATGAGGTCAAGGATAATGATTAGGGCGAGGCTGAAGAAGGGCCAGCACCAGCGCAAGGCTCAAGATGTGCGGAGTTCAGGGGCACCACGAAGGTCTAGTGTGAGGGTCAGCGCAAAGGCAAAGGTTAGAGCGAGGATGAATGTCAGTAGTAATGGGGTGGGCGAGGGTCTGGGGCTGGTGTCAGGGGCAAGGGCGAGGGCCAAGGAGGCAGCTGGAGCGCTGTCACCGTGGAGCGGCTGGCGCGGAGT